CTCACCAGCCTTGCGCTCCAGACCCTCTCCCAACTCCGCTGCCTTTCGACTCGCCCCAGCCCCTCTAATGTCTTTCTCAGAAAGAGCGGCGCAGAACTGCACACATCACTCGAGGGGCTCCTCACCACTGCAAGGGGAGAACCCCAAGACGTCACACATCCTGTTACGTTTCCAGCCAGAACAAGGTTTTTACACGCGGGGATGACTTTTCACGGGCCGGGGAGGCCTCGCGAGCCCCGCGGCGGGAGCACTCCATTCCCGATCCCAGGGGCCCTGCCCCGCCACGGCCAAGGCGCCACCTCCCCGCGGGTCCCGCTTCCCGCGGCTCTTCCATGTCGTTGTTTGAACCCGAAACGGAAATGGGACCGCGGAGCCACCGGGCGAGAAACGGAAACAAAACACGGGCCGGGCCGGGCCGGGCCAGGCCGGGCCGCGCTGCTCTCACCCGCCGCCGCCACCGTCCGTGCGTCCGCTCGCCCGCCGCACTGACACGTCCCGCCGTCTGTCCGCGCCCAGGAACTCCCCCAGCTCCGGGTCCAGGACCGGCTCCAGCAGCGGGTCCAGGAGCGGGCTGCGCCAAAGTCGGGGCGGCGCGCAGGCCCAGCGCGGGGAAGCGCGCGACACCGCCGCGCCCCCGCACGAACTACGACTCCCGGCGGCTCTCGCGGCTCCGGAAGGCCCTGAGCCTCTTTCCCTCACTTGGGAGCGGCTCTGTGCGGCTACGGTGCGTGCTGGGCTCTTCCCGGGGCTCTTCCCGCGCTGCCGCCGGACCCGGCGGGCGCTAAGCGGGGCCAGGCTGTGTGTGCGGATGGGGGAGCCGCGGGGGGCAGGGGGGTGTGTGGTGGGTGAGGGGTGAGGGGTGGTGGTTCCCGGCGCGCACTGCGAGGGCGGCGGGGCAGAGCGGAGGCAGTGGTTCGGCCAAGGTGACTCTGGGGTTGAAGCTGTCACCTTTTTTCTTGCTTAAACAACGCGGAGAGCGGAATTCACGGTTTGTCTGGGTTGTTGTGGCGCGGTTCCGTAGCGAACGGGCCGCGGAGCTGCAGCCGTGGGATCACGGTGCCCTCGCACTCGGTGTTTGCTGGAATTTCCCCTCCCCCCCACACTGTTTTAAATAACCTTTGAATACCTCTCTGCTTTAAAGTTCAGCTCCAGAGTACATTTTTCTTTCTTTTTATGTATTTATCTTAATATCTTAAAGGAAATAGCTTTTAAATACTTTTCTGATTTCAGCTCCAAGCTATTTTTTCCTGCTTTTTTAATGCATTTATTATATCGCTGTGACTAATCCTTTATTTCTGCTTTCGTGTTTTGTTAGTGGTTAAAGTAGTAGTGCCATCATGATCCTGCGACAGATCTTGCGGCTTTCCTCCCTTTTCCACTCTGCTGTGTCCATTCACCTGCGCAGGAACATTGGGCTCTCTGCGATTGTCTTCAACAAGGCAAAAGAACTCGACCCGGTCCAGAAGCTCTTCTTGGACAAGATCAGAGAGTACAACACCAAGAGCAAGTAAGTAAAGGAAATTGTCTTAAGGTGGGGACTAGTGGCAAAAGGGGAAAATATGTTGATTTTGACATAAAAACATCAAATCTGAAGTGTTTGATTTTTCACAGTTTGATATTCTCTAGGCTGGTCTGTAAATATTTATGGTGTGTTTTCTTGCAACACTTATGGTTTCCCTAGTGGGAAAGGTTGTTTTTGCATATCTAATATAAAATACCAATTTCTTTCCCTTAAAAAAGAAAAAATCTGATGCCATTCTTCTTGGGCAGTTACGCCACACAGTTGAGGTGTCTTGCACGTTGCATGAATGTACTGGTATCTTAATTTTTACCCATCTACATGCTTTATAAATAGGGGGAAAAAGCTAAACAAACCTTTTTTTTTCTTTTTTTTTTTTGGATGGGGAGAACAGTTATTCTGTAGTCTTGTTCCCAGAAGCTGAATGGAAATAGCCTCCAAAACCAATTGAGAATTAATGGAATTATCAGGATGGTCCATTTAACATCTTAAGTTAATAAGCAGTTCCTTCAAATGGAATCTTAGATTATTGTAACGTTTGAATGAACTGCTGGCCAGGAAACGAAAACCATAGTAAACCTGTGTAATTTATTCTTGGGAAGTATTCCTGGGAAGGAATTAAGATGCTTCTTAGCTCTGCTGGTAGAAGATGTGTCTATCCCTACCTGCAAACCCATCTGTGTAGGGAGGTAGGTATTTGGTGGTTTTACCAATTGTAAGCATGGATCATGTGCTGGTACAACTGAGTGCTGGCAATCTGAAGAGTTACTATTTTAGTTATCTGATGCTTGAATCCCAAGAAGCTCCTGTTGTGGAGGGGATTTTTGCTTCTTTAGCATTCAAAATGCATTCTCTTCGCAAGAACAGTTAAGCTTTACTAACTGGGAAGAGGTGCAAATCGCAGTTTTGTTAGGAATTCACACCTGGAACAAACAAAACTAAAAGCCCAGAGAGCCTCCATACTCATCAGTGGTTTTGCCTCACGAGACCACGTTTTGTCTCGAAAGGCTTGGATTTTCATCCTGGTAGTTGGATTTTCATCACTGACAGCAGAAAACCTTCACCCTGAGAATCTTGTTTGTGTGTAAGGTAAGGAGGCCCTAAGGTGTCATATCCTGTGTTTTGGAAATATTTTAAATTACTTCCTTTGGCTGGCTGTTAGAAAGGTTTTAATTTATAAATGGGCTTGAAAACGTAGAATTTTCCATGTGAATATTAGAACTGAGTTGTTAATTACAACTTTTAATGTTTATTAGGCAAGCTGGAGGGCCTGTTGATGCAGGACCTGAGTTTCAAAAAGATATGAATGAATCCCTTGCAAGACTTCAACGCGCGTATGGTGAGGGAGATCTCACCAAGTTTCCGGAATTTAAATTTGAGGGTGAGTTAACAATCTTACTGAACTCTAATTGCAAGTAGAGACACGTTCACTCACAGGTTTCTTAAATTCCGCTTTAGTTTATATTTGTACCATTAATTTTGTGTAAAATGCCCTCTGGGAATCTTACGCTTTTGCACAGTTCACATCGGTTTCCATGTGACTCCTATTTTGATTATTTGCCTTTTCTAGCAGAGGTGTGGTCTTCATTATACTAATGATTAACAAAACTTACAGTCAGATCAGGCTATCTTAATTGTCCTTCAGACACCTAAAGAAAGAGCTCAAATAGAAATAGCCTAGGTTCTGTATTTTTCTCATCTTGCCAAAAAGATCAGCAGACTATAATGTGAATATCAGTTAGTCTTAGCATCATCCAAACTGTGACTTTTTTTGATTTTGTAAGCTCCTCTGGAAAGCCACTGATTTCAGAAAATGAACATAGGACTTAACTTCCTTACTGTTATTTTTGGCTAAATTATATTCCTTTTTTCTTCAGCTATTTGGATATGACTTCTGTTTAACTGCTCTAAGTTTGTTTTAGTGTGGAAGGGAAAGGGCAGATAGCATAATGCTTGGTGGGTATCTGGCAGCCAGCCAAGGCCAAGCAACCATAGTCAGTAAATTGTAGTTCTGATCAGACTGTCTGAGAATTCTCATTTAGACTTGGAACACACCTGAAAATGTTTTGGGTTTTGGTGGTATTTCAGTTGGGTAAAATTGGTGTCAGGTGCAGAGTACCTGTAAAGTAGGATCTATGGTTTTTCTGTTTTATTTTTACACAATTTTAAGGATGTAGTTTCTCTACATTCAGTTTTATTTCTGTGTCATATGTGAAACTATGCATATTAAAATTTTACTTGTTTTTGTAAGGAAAAAGAATTTGTGGACCATAGGGACAGAGCATAGCACAGACACAACATTACTTTGTTCTTTTGCCACTGTTGCCTATCCTTGATCTAATCTCAATTAGGTTTCAAATTGTAATTATATGAGTAGGAACATAAATTTTTTTACCTTAGGGATGCTCACTATAAGCTGACCCTTGCCTCTCAGACTTCGTATTAACAACAGCAGGCATTAGCAGCCCAAGTGCCCAAAGCCCTAACCTTTGTGAGCCTGTACCTTTGACATCAGGAACTCCTTGGTCAGTGCATGTGGAGAGTATCTTGCTGAGTTGAGTTAAGTTGTGCGCTCATTTCTGTTAATATACACTGATGATAACTAATGAAAGGGAGAGAAGAGAGATTACTTGTTATTAGAGCTATGTTGGAAATACTCTTCCAGTAACATTCTGGTTGACTTCTTCAGTTTCTCTGCTGTCTTCTCCCCTATCCCAGGTGTCACTAAAAGCTGTTTAGGCAGAATATCACTGAGGCTTAGCCTTTATACATAACTCCTGCAAAGTGAAAAAGACCTGTCCCCAGCCTAGTTACTGTTTACTGATGCCCACATTTAATCAGTCAGTGGGGGTGTAGACTGCAATGTACTGCTTTAGATTGCCCATGTAATGGTTAGTTTTCTTTGAATTACAAATTAATTGTGGTGTTTGAAGATGTTAAAAAAAGAGACTAATAAGAATTTTCTCTCTCCCATTCCTCCTGTAGAGCCCAAGTTTGAGGAGACTCCAAAGTGATCTCAGCAGCTTTTACACCAAACAGCAATGTACAGCCATGGAGTTGCTGAACATGGCACCAGTTGTAATTTAATAAATGTAATGCTTCAGTTTGATTTCAGTGGTGTGAAGAAGCTCTTAACTGCATGGTGAGTGTAGCTGGCTGTCATCATCAACTCCTACATGATAGAGGCAGCTGAGTAGTGCCGCTCAGTGTTAACTGCAAAATACCTTTGTGTGCTGTGTTTCAATGCTTAGGTATTATAACACTTGTAATGATATACCAGGAAGGAACTGTTCGTTCTGTTGAGTTTATCCAAAAAGCTTCTGCAGAAAAAACAATCTCCATGAACCTTAAGTCTGTAGCAAACCTCTACACTGGTGATGGAGGTGCACAGTCAAAAGCATAGGCACAAATGCCCTAATGCTACACTGCATCAATGAACATAAATGTGATGAAGAAAATGAAATCTGCTAAAGAGGTTGTAAGGTGTGAATTTCTGTGACTGAACTATTGACACAAACACTTTAGCTTCTGAGGAGCTATTTATTTATAATAATTATATCTGAGAAACTACATAAACACTTTGACAGTTAAGAGTCTTCATACTACAGTTTGAATTGTACTGACATGATTTTTCTTTAGAATGAAACTATATACGCAGTCTACAGAGAGAGATTTCCACATTAAACACTGAAACACTGCTTGAGCTTTTGTTACAGGAAGATTTATTTTGTCAGCATAGTGAGGTTACTTCTACACACTTTGAAACTGTATCAGATTTGCCAAAATCATCTCTTAAGTCCTAGTAAATCAGAATTGCAGGAGAAATTGAGCCCTGACAATGGCTGAGAGACAAGTAGTGAGGTCGTTATGAAAGTTATTTGAATAGATTGTTCCAAGCTGCAAGAGTGAATCTTGTATTGCTGCATGTACGTATGAACAAAATGAGAAGCTTTCATACAGAACTAAATAGAATATACGAGTTAATTTGTCTTTAAGTTTATTTGGGGGTTGGGTTTTTTTGAAATGCCATCACAGCTAGGTTGACTAAATATTGGCAGTTTCTATTGTCAGCATGTAAGACATGGAAACAATATTTACAGAGCAGAGGTCAAAAGATCACTTGATGTTTTGGTTTAACCCTAGCTGGCAACTAAGCATCCCATAGACTCTGGCTCACTCCATCACCTCCCCCTACTGTAGGGAAGGGAATTAGAAACAAAATTAGTGGGTTGAGATAAAGCACTTAAATAATTGAACCAAAGTAAAAATATGGGAAAAAGAGAGAGAAAGAAAACCTGAGGAGCACAAGTGCTCATCACCACTCACTGACTGATGCCCAGCCTGTTCCCCAGCAGCAAATGGCCCCTCCCAGCCAACTTCCCCCCAGCTTAAATACTGGGCATCATGTTTTATCCCTTTGCCCAGTTCAGGTCAGGGTCCTGGCCCTGTTCCCTGAGCACCTTCTCACTGGCAGAGCATCAGACACTGAAAAGTCTTTGATTTGGGGTAAGTACTACTGAGCAACAACTGAAACATTATTATGTTATTGACATTATTCTAATACTAATTAAAAAAAAACCCAGCTCTATACCAGCTACTAGGAAGAAAATTAACTCTCAGCTGAAACCAGAAAAGTATCATCTGTTTTATGTCACGCAGAATCCCACACTTCCCAATATACCAGCACCTTTCCCATCTTTTTATAGATGCACACACAGATACCATTTCCTTAATCTATAGACAATCCCAGTAGAAGTCTACTGAATTCATTCAGTCCATGACTTTTGGCTTATGACAGTCACAGGAAAGAGGGTGTCTGGTGTTGGATTGTTGCATGTTGAAGCCAGTTCTGATTCCGTCACTGCTCTGCTTGTTCAGTTACATCAAAGTTCATTCTTAATATGGCAGTTCAGGGGAGCTGGGTTCAGATCCCCAAAACTGGAGGGGTGGAGACAGGCACCATGAGGTGCCCAGTGTAATTGTAGGCATGCAGTTGACGTAGAAGTGCTAATACACAGCATTACACAGAAATTAACATCACTCAATGCACAAACCAGACTTGCCCATCCTCCTGTCTTAAAAAGTGTGCCCAAGTCCTTCAGCAGAAACAATTCCACAGAAGAGTTTGTCTTTGTCCAAGGCAGGCACAACCCAGACTGTCTTCTGCAGGACAGTTTTCATATGCACTACAGGAATTTTATTCTCACCTACAGGAAAAGTTTTGATTGGGCAGAACCAGCCCACTTGGCAGATCTTCTAGTGCCCATTCACCAGGTGGTCTTTGCCAATGTGCATCCCCATGTTTGAAGGTTCCCCCTGGCCATTGCTCTCAGTGTAGTCTCACAGTCCATTGGATCATGTGGTTTTCTCAGCTGGTGCATGACACAATATACCCACTAAATGCCATGTTCCTTGGCCCAAGTGTCTGTGACTGTTTTCCAAGTATTTCTAGTTTATTCTGGTCAAAAGCTTGGTGTTGCTCAGGGCCCCATGTGAAATCATTCTTCTGAATCACTTGATAAAGAGGGCTTACAGTCAGACTAGTTTGGAGTATGCATTTTCAAAAAATCCACATCTAAACCTGCATTCTTACTTTTTGAAGAAATGGATTAGAATTTCTTTCCATAGGATCAGGAGGAAATTCAGCCCTTCCACTCTGCCTGGGAAACCATCCACTGGAGATGGGAGTAGCAGCTTTCCTGGAAGAACCCCCATTTGGGATTGTTTTCCTTACAATTCATGTCTCTAGGGTCAAGGTAGGTCTCCCATCCCAATTCTTCATGCCTTCTCTGTGGTCTCTCAGCTAAACTCCCAGAGTATCCCATGGTGTGTACCTTCCATATCCTCCCTCTTGAGCCAACACTTACTCTCATTAGCATGGGTCTGTAGAGAAGAGGAATAGAACATAACCTCTTGAACTGCTGAAACTTCTAGGACAGTTTATCTGATAGTTTCTCTACAGATGAGAGGAAAAGAGGTCTTCAAATTCCCAGCAATGGCAAGCCACTGTATCCACAGATGGTGGTGTGATGTCTTTTCAGATTAACATCAGTGGGTTGGTGTGTGTCTTGGTACACTCTACAAACTTCCACCACATGGGTCATATGCAGAGGAATTGGTCGATCTGTGGGAAACCTTGTATTGTCCAGGTCAAAATAAATCTCTAGCATGGCCAATTCCCTCAAGTATTGGATATCTTCTACTTGCATGGTGACATGTAGTATCATTCTTGTAAGGATACCTGTCCTTCAGGCTTGACAGGACTCGCTTCCAGTGGTTGGGGACTTATGTCTCTGTTGCCATCAGTTTGTAAATGCTTGTTTTCTTACAAAGTGATTCCTGCCCTCTAATTCCAGTCTGTTAGTCCCATTATCCCAGCATTGGAACAGCTAGCTGGTAGTATGCTCATCAGGACAACAGCTGAAATACTTGTGTATATCCTTCAGCTCACTCAGAAATAAGGATTGAGTGGTTGCCTCTTGTTGACCTGTTACTGAAGTTTTTGTAGGTACAATACATGTTGGTGGGGTTTTGGTTGCCACAGATCTTTTCTTAACCCTAAAGAAGGCCTAAACCATATGCAACATACTGATTGTTACCAAAAGGACCAGGTTGGTTTCAAGGGTAGTCACAGGATATGTGAAGTCTTCAAAATTCTCAAATGCTATTGTAATCATCCTGGAGGGGAAGGAAGGTGTTTTTGCCGTGGGTTGGCTCTCTGAGGGTAAAAGGCAGTAGATGTAACTGTGGATAGTTTCCACCAGATGGCTCCCAAAGGACAGTGGGGACACGCACCAGACAGGCTCATGAACAGCCATTTTATCATTTCACAAGCCAGTACAATACAGAACAACACAGTGGTAACCTTAGCCCAGGCCTAGAGCAAATGAGTCAATATGGTGGCCAGCAAACTAGTAAACCAATACAATGAAGGCTTATAACAAACTTGTTCTAACATGCTCTAGTCAGATCTGCTTTTATCTCAACCTTTTGAGTCGCACACTGGGTGCCAAAAAGAACTGCCAGCAGCTCAGCCAGCAGCCAAGCCCCATGTGGCTGCTTGCTCACTGTCTCCACCCCAGCCCAGTGGGAAAACTGGGGGAAAAAAAAGTAAAACTGGTGGGTTGAGAGAACAACAGTTTAATAATTGAAACAAAGTAATATAAAATACTAATAATACTAATGACAATAATAACAACAATAATATGAATTGTAGTGAAAAGGAGAGAGGAGTAAAGCCCAAGAAAGGCAAGTGATGCACAACAGTTTCTCACCTCTTACTGACTGATGACCAGCCTGTCCCCCAGCAGCAGCTGGCTCCTCCTGGCCAACTTCCCCAGTTTTAATACTGGGCGTGATGTTCTGGCATGGAGGCAGTCACCAAGCACCAAGCCTGTTTGAGTTCCAGAAGCGTTTGGACAATGTGACAGGCACATGGTGTGATTCTTGGGGTGTCCTGTGCAGGGCCAGGTGTTGGACTTCATGATCCTGATGGGTCCCTTCCAACTCAGCTTATTTGATGATTCTGTGATTCTATGCATATCCCTCTGGACAACTCAGATCAGCTGTCCCAGCTGTGCTCTGTCCCTGCTTCTTTTGCACCTCCTCACTGGAAGACCATGGAAATCTGAGGACTCCTTGACTTGGAGTAAGCACTACTCAGCAGCAACTAAAACATCAGTGTGTTATCAACTTTATTCTCATATTAAATCCAAAACACAGCTACTATGAAGAAAATTATCCCAGCTGAAATCAGGACATTGATACTTTTGTATAACAAGTAGTAATTTGATGTCCCTCACAGAGGCTGAAATCTTCTAAATAACAAAGGACTTGGTATGCTTGAAATCCTAAATGAAGCAAACAAGGTTACAATAAATAACAGTTCAAAGACTTTAAGCAGGTTAATATTTAGTGTACATTTCAGAAGAAACTAAGGCACTGAGCTTGACAAGAAATGTGTCTGATGTACTGTTAGTAAATGTTCTTTTCTGAGACAGGAGGTCTACAAAATGCACTCTACACAGAAGTAGCAACCTATTCATAAATACAGGTATCAAACAGCTCTGTTCAGAGCATCTGATTTTTAAGTGCATTAACAATGATAAACAGATACCATAGCTCTTCAAAGCTTTATCTTTCTCACTCAGAGCAAACAGATAGCTGGTTTCAGGAAATTTCTTATATACATACTAGGTCAAGGATTAAGCTTATGCAATTTAGTATGTTTTGTTTTGATTAAGAAAATGGGTGTCGTTCAGTGATCTTTTAAAGTTACATCGGTATTACTCATGCTACTTTAACTCCTCTTGTCCTTAAACTGTAGATAGTGATATTAAGTCACTCCTTGTTGAAGTTTTATTCCTTTTGCACCAATGTGAAAAGCTGAAATGATGTAGATGTAGTTAAAGCCCTTTGAGCTGACTCAAGGAAGTGGGCGTAGAAGTAGTAAATTCAGCTTCCATATTTAGTCAAGGCTTTTGACCCACATTATTCTTATAAGAGTTAGGGCCCAATCTTTCTCTCATTGCTGTCTTGGACTGTGTCTCAGTTAGTTAATCAATATGTACAAGAAGATGCAAAGTATGGAGCAAAGTGCTGCAGCTGCGTTACACTTAAGACCATGCAATAGGAAGCTGTAAATGCAGACAGATAATGTGTCACCAGGTACGGGCACAGCAGGAGTGAAGAGTTTGTATATATGAAAAGACATTACAGATCTAAGGAACTTTGAAGATATTTAAAGCATTTAAAACACACTAGTGAACACAAAAGCCTTGCCTTTTCACTTGTAGATTGATAGTTCATCTTCTTTCTGTTAACAGAGCAGGAAAGGAATACAGGTTAAATAGCGACTTTTCTGGTGTTGGCTTGTTGGCTCTTTAGGAGCCTGATATATGAATGCATTTTTCCAGATTTCCAGCAATCCTCAGGGATTTTTTCCCCTCCTCTTAGAAAAAACTTACGATAACAAATCCATTGAATGCTTTTAGATATAAGCCATTATCTCATAAACCACTGTCAAACACCTTCTCTAGCTCGACTTTCCAAGTCTTCCAGTTAACACTTTTTGTCTAGCTCATGGCCAGAACTAAAACAGCTTGAGGAATTCTGACTTACTATTAAGAAATTTGAGTGAAATAAATCCATATCAAAGGAATACAGCTGGCACTGTCAGAAAGTTTCTACCAGTTATATTTTTAAAGAACACTTCCTGAAATGACTTGTAGATAAGGATATGAGAGCAGTTCAATTTGGTTCTGATTGTCTTTTGTCTAGTTTGAAGAGGAGACACATGAATAGCTGAGTAAGAAGTGTAAGCTGTAATTATGTAAAAAGACACATCTCTGTATTTACCACAGTAATGTAATGATTCACTTTCTGACCAGCACACTGGTTTCTATTAAGAAAACCAGCTAGTGTGTAGGATCAGGTTTATCTCAGCGTCAAGAAAGCTATTGCACAAAAATCATGTTAGAAAGGCTGTAAAAATCATTATAGTTACTAAATCATCTGAAATGTAAATGAGGTTTGCAGTGATTTATGTACTACATGCATACTTACTGGGAAGAACTTTCCTCTGAAAAAGAAAGGAAAAAAAAAAAAATTAGCACAAGAACAGTTTCCTTACCTGTTTTAAAGTTCTTTGAAATAGTTATTCCTAGAATAGTTAGCTCTTCAGTTTCTAGAAGGAGTTTCTGAACCAAATGTCTCTTTTTGGTGTAGTGAGTTTAGGCTGAAGAAAGATTAGGCTTCAAGTGTAAATGAAACTCCAAGTGAACTCTAACGAGCAGCTCTGTAGCCTCTGGTAATTTCAGGCAGCTGACCTTTTCAGACCCCAATGTTTGGCATCTGTTTTTGCTGTGTTCAAGCCTATAGGTAACCAATGTATATGCTACAGAGAGGGTTGCTGGATGTCAAGCTTTATGCAGCAATCCCTAAAAGCAAACTTTTTCCATGACCCAGAGGAAGAAGACAGTTAATTTAGTTTTGCTTTCATCAGAACTTAGTTGGTCAGGCACGGTTGACTAAAACAGGTTTAATTTTATTTTGGCTTTCTTATGGATTCCTTATCAAAACAAGGGTGCAGAGGTTCCAAGAACCAGAGTCAGGCACGTTGCTTTCCCTAGGTTGTTGTTTCATAGCCTTAAGCAACTGCGCAAACATCTCTATGTCGTTTTCAAAGTACCTTTTGCAGTAGATGTTGGCAGAATAAAAATGTCTGCACAAAATGTTGCTGTTTTAATGCTCTCCAGCTTTAGTACCATGGAGTTAGAACCTTCATGGAAAGGAGGACATCATCAGAATCATAAAATCATGGAATTGTTTGGGTAGGAGGGGACCTTAAAGATCATCTGGTTCCAACTCCCTGCCATAAGCAGGGACACCTTCCACTAGATCTGGTTGCTCAAGACTCCCTCCAACCTGTCCTTGAACACTTCTAGGGATGGGGCATCCACAGCTTCTCTGGGCAAGACAGAGTGTCATGGAAACACTGCTAAATAAAGACATTTTTTGACTTGAGGAAGGAGTGATTTTATTCTACTTACTTGCAAAGTAGCCCTTTTTTTGGGCATAGAATACTCCAAGGCCACACAGCACTATCACCAGAGCCACAAGTACTACAGCCACAATGATACCGCTTACATTAAGGTCATCTGTAATTATAAAGCAGAAGTCCTGTGTTCTAAATTGTAGAAAATTCCACTGGCTGGATTTTTCCCTAATTACCACAGGCATTTTTGTATCTATAGGTGGGTTTTGGCCTGAGATGCATAAATTAATTAGTGACAGTTAGATGTATTTCAGCAGTAAAAAAGCACTAATGTGCCACAGCTACTTTAACAGAAGTGCTTGGTACACATCAACTGCTTAGTTTGAGTCAAAAGTAAGGAAAGAATAAGAAGGACCAAGGGATACATATTGCTTATCATATCTACCCCAAATAAGTATTACCCAAGTCATATGTCTCTGAGGAAAAACATCTTGAAATCTTTCTAAGTGTTAAAGCAAGTTTTTTCATATAGTTAATTTGCTTAACACAACTGAAACAACTGATGGCAATTAAATTCCACTTCTAAAGAACTCTTCAAATGAGTTTTTTGAAATGCAATGATTTTAAATGGCAAGGCTTTTAAAATACAACACAATAAAGCTGAGTTCCCTGAAATTAAACTCTACACCAGGCTGCTAAAACATCTGGCCATTTTTATTTTGAAGGTTTGACTTCAACCATGACAAAGACCACACCCATATCCTGATATACTCACTAAGAGCTTCAGACTATCATTCATTTTAGGGAAACCAAAATTATCAAGTAGCAGAAACATTTTCATAGTTTTTTTTTTTTTTTTTTTATGTTTCCAATTATTTGGATCCCAACTTCAAGCATATTTTAGTATATCGTTGAGATTTTTACCCCAAAACTTAACAAATTTTTGTACAATTTAAGCTGACAGCAATTTAAGACTTAAGCATATTTTCACAAAGTGATTCTATCTCACTAGCTTGAGGAACATGTGCTCATAATCCACCAAGAATGCATTAAAACCCATGACACAGTGATTTTCAGCTAAGTTCCATGAAAGCACCATATGGAACTTTGCAGTACCATGTACTTCTTTATGGAACACTTGGACAGGATCTTCCCTGCAGTAGTTATTAGGATTTGTTACCATTTGCTTTCCTGTGATATCTGCAAGAACCAGTTGTATATTTTGCAAAAAAAAACCCCTCACATATAATTTTGGGTTATTACAGACTGTTACATTAAGATTTCCCATGAATGAATCCCAAAAGGGAGGCTTTGTGTAAAAAAAACCACCCCAGTGGACTGGCCCACTCTTCTGTAAGCCTTCCACAAAAGCATTTGGAAATATTAAAGTTCTCCTCTGACTGATGCTTTTCTGTGAAGTTCAGTGTTTAGCAATCAAAAAGCTAATTACTGCGATAAGGAACTTATTATTTCTCCTCCCCCCAAATGCCATAATCAAATAAAAATATTTAATTCAATCTGGTCTTAGATTCTTAGTTATACCATGCAATTACATAAATCCTACTGCAAGACTGTTTTCCACCATACTTTTCTTTAACACATACCAACTTGCATTCGCTTCACTGAGCATTTCTGAGATAATCCAATCCCATTGGAGGCTTCACAGAAATACTCTCCAGTGTCATTCTTTGTAACTGTATTAAACAGCTGTTAAGAAAGAGTCCAAAACCATTATCAGAATGGGGCGGGGGGGGTGGGGAATCCTGTAGAACAGAAATTTTGACATGTCAGTGTAGATTTGTTTGTTTTAAACAAATGAAACCCAAAACCCCTGAAAGCAAGTAAGAAATTCTGGTCCATTTCAACTTTGTAACAGCTCCCTAGTCACATTCCCTGGTCCTTCAACTTCTGCTTGTTGCCTAAGAGGTTCCTTTAGATGGACATTAACTCAGTGGAGTGTATCTACAAAGAAATCAATTTTCAGTGGACCAGAACTTTCCAATAATATCCACTTTTTTAGATATGCTCTAATTTCAGAATACCTGAAATAGTTTCTTCATTTTGTCAAAACAACAACCCCATTAACAGATCCTTCAAAAAACTTGACACATACTACTTATGATGCATTGTCAACTGAAATTTTTCAGAAGTAAAGAGTTGTTTGGGTGGTTCTCAACCCTCTAAAAATGCACTTTGTCTTCTTCCAACAGAGAAATGCTAAACCATACTATTTATCAAATACTACTACTGTAAAAATGAAAATGAAATGAAAATGAGAGGGTAGCAGGACATTTCCCCCCACCACAGAAGAGCTTGTCTGTTGCTTGTTGGTGCAATAACTCAGAGCATCTTGCTCTCACATGAGCCTCACATGAGCCTTGGTGAAGTAACTCAATCAGGACAGTTTATCTTGTAGTGAATTATTTCATCACCATGGGATTGATGCTTTCAGCTGACAGTAAACATCGTGCTGTGGAAGCAGATGTGGGAAGACAAAGCTGGAATTTCTGACTGACATACACTTCACTTTACAAACTATAACAGCTACACCATATTTTCACAAAGCAGAAATCTGCGCATTCCCTGGAAATGTGTGGGGTCTCCCCCCCAAAGTCAGGACCCCACTTTGTGGTTACTCTCCTGGGGGCTGTAAGGACTCTGTGTACGCTATCAGCAATTTGATGGTAAGTTACATTGACTCCTAACCTATACTATTCCCTTGCTAGCTGTAATATAGGTACCTTAATGTCATGCACTGTTTTATGTAATCTACTAGTAGTTCTTTTATTTTACACTGTGTATTAAGTAACTGTTTAAGGCCTCTTGTCTGTTACTTTCTGCCAATTCAATAAGTAACTCATTTTATAATAGACCTAACTGTCCACTCTTAAGAACTTGTGAGCCAGAGCGATTTAGGTGCAGGTCACCTAAGTAGAGCTGCTGCAAAAAGTCTAAGCCTAAGGCAGGGCTTTTCTAAAGCTCTAACTTGATCTGTAACAAAGAGATGGATAGAAACTGACCTCATGACAATTCCAGTATTTCTATTTTCTTAATTATTAGACTTGTTAACGGTTTCTTTTAATGTATGCTATACTTTGATATTTTCAGAAGTGATTAGTAAGTTTGAGTACTACACCTGATTTCCATGATGAGCATTCAGAACATCTGAATGCTTAGTCATACTTCAGTTTCCATGTTTGATTTTGCACAAGAGTAGTGTTCTTAGAACAACTCTTTACTTCTGAAAAATCTCAGCTCCCTAAGTAGCTTCAAGTTCTTTTGAAGGATCAGCTAATGGGGGAAGAATGACAGAGACAGCCAGCTCTGAAGGAAAATAAAATCCAACACCACAACCCACAAAACAAACTACAACTAAAATGAAGAACTAAGCTTACTTACAGTCCCAACTCATTCTTCCTGACTTCACAGGGCTTGGATGGGAACTTGTAAATGGCACTGGATTTCAGAGATCCTGTACTGCCCTGAGTGCTGCACTCCCCTTGAATTGTATGAAGCTACTATTCCAAATTTTAAGGTTCTGTCAAACATATCTCTGTTACCATACCAAAACCTCATTTGCACCTGACACAAGTTTGCCAACTGACAAGGTAAAATTTGTCATGTATTTCCAGATACTCAGTTATCAGTACTGCAGCCTTGTACCTCACCCAGTTTGTGTGTATCATTCAATGTCTATGGCTTGTCACTAGTTTGAGGCAGAAACCACCTTGTACATTTCTCAGCACATTTCAGCATGACACTAACCTCCAACAAAGACCTTGTGAATTTTTGGATTTAGACCCCCATGCATCATTTTACTGAACAGTAAATTTGGTCTCCTTGATAGCTGTCTATGAAAGAGCTGGTTATTACACTTACCAGAGTGCCAGACTTTTTATTCATGGTGTAAGTTATATTTGCTGCTCTAGCACTTCCTGTTCCTGTCTTCTCCAGCAAGGCAACACCATTCTTGTACCACTGGTACTCAGATGGAGGGGAGCCCTCATTTTCCTTACAACTCATCTGCACAACCGTTCCTGTCATTGCGGAGCTGGGTACCTCACACACTGGAGTAGTTGGAGCAACTGGACAGTGAAATTGAACTTGTTACACATGTACATATACTGTCCACATGTGTCAGAGTCTGAAATAGTTCATGCCTCAAACATTGATATAAAGTTTTGCCCATTATAACAAAAACTATAAAGAAGCTACAACCAAAGAAGACTCCCTGAAGATAACCTGATTTGGACTTTGGACTGAAAGTCAAAGTGCTGAGATTCAATAAAGTGAAAACTCATTCTTCAATCCCCTGAAACAAGCAAGTAAACAAAGAAAAGAATGTGAGACAAACCCAGCAGCTGTGCTAAGAATCACCTCGGGCTTGCTTTGGGGTGAGGGAGGCTGTAGCCTGTCACTGATAGTGGAGACAGGAATGTGACATATACACACCGAGGTTCATGCAGCAACAGCCAGAGTTTATCGATGTGAGCCGGCTTTGTGCGGGCTTTGAATTTCCTGCACTTACAGATATTATTGGTCAAAGGTCTTAACTCTGCCCAGCTCACTGGCCAATGATATGGATGCATTCCTGGTTCCAAGGGATTGGCTGGGGTCCCCTTGTTTGAACTTGAATGCAGCCTATCAACTTAAAACCTGGGCACTTATTACTCCTTATTCTCTAACGAGCTAGGCTGGTCGAGTTGGTGTCTCTTATGGTCTAATTATCTGTGCAGCTATAGACCAGCTATAGTTGTCACAGTAGCCCACTGACCCATTTGCTAGGAGCAGGTTTGCACAGATTTTCCCCTCCCCAGTCAAAGTGGGGGAGGAAGTTTTGGCATGTTGTAACCTCTGCTCGGGGCAGGGAACCCATCCTCCCTTACATAACCAGGCTATGAAACCCCTAACCTTGGGAAGGCCACATCCACAGGACAGTCAGGTGAGAGGCAGCTGAGGGGGTGCCTTAATCCATCAAAGGCCCCCTAAAGTGCTCCCCAGAGTCATTCCTGAAGCTTTGTACCACAGGACTGCATGTGATGCAACAAACCCAGTCTGTTGTAAGAGACATGGTAAACACCCCCTGCCCCCAAGGGAGAAGCCTGAATTTTCCTACCTAGCCTGAGTGTATATTAACCAATCAGATTCTATGCTTTCAGGGGGGACTTTCACCACCAAGAAGACCAGCTGGAGAGGATCAGTGAAACATCATTGGGATCCATGGAGTGGTGGTATTTTCCTTATTCTGTCCTTCTTACTCTCTGTCCCTCCCACCTATTTCTTATTTCTCTCTCTCTCCTTCTCTCAAATATTTACTATTAAATGAACCCCATACTATTGTCACTGACATATGGTTTCATTTGTGCCTTGATTTGGGCAGGGGCATTTCTAAGAACTTTACTAATCGGATCATGACAACATGACAGCAGGCTGACAGTCATTGTGAGGAGGTAAGCACTTGTGCACATTTGATAACTACCACATCAATGAAATGAAGTGTAGGAGAAAGGCTGGAAGGCACAATCCTGCTACTGAGAGCACAGTAAAATTTATGAGTTACTAAAAATGAAAGAGGTGCTCACTGCCAGCCTTCCCCCACCATATGCTGTGTCATCCTGTCTCCAATCTGTTCATTTTCATCCAACCCCAGAGAGTTTGTTTCACTTTCTTTTTTGTATGCAACCTCTTGTTCACAGACAGAGATGGGATAACTTGGAATCTGTAGTCCAGCAATTGGCCCCTCCCATACCCTAGTATTTAAAAATGCAAGTGAGGAAGAGGAAAAAGAGGTTTTGTATTAAAAGGAGTAAATTTTTGAGAAGTGAATGTCAGAAACATCAGCAGTCATCATAGGCACTTTATAAACCCCAGTCTGAGGACCAAAACCGATTGGTTACTACATTCCAGTTTAAATTAAAAATGAACATTCCCCCACACAGATGCAGGAGAACTATTTGTTCCTTCTCCTATGAAGATGAACATCTCTTTTTTGATTTTTAATATGTGAACAGAAAAGAAACTGAATTTCTTTATTTTTTGGTACTTAACATTATATAGAAGAAAAATAATGGTGAAGAGGCATCCATGGAACATTAAAAGAACAACTGACACCTTAACTAGTATTGATAGTTTTTTCTTGGTTGATTTTAAGATAAAAATCAGAAATAAAACCAAATAAGATACTAATTCACATTATCTTTCAAAAAGGTTTGTAAGCAACACATACCCTCCCCCCACCCTTTCTCCTTGGCCCTTGAAGACTTCAACTTTAAATGAAGAAGCCACATTTAAAACAGGAAAGCTGTTGAGAAAGTAGAAGAAAGTGGGGTTACCTCATTGTTGATGCTAATCAGAAGTTCGTGCATTTATCATCTTTTATGAAGAACTTAGAAACTTTATGTATAATTTTGAATAATCAATTATTATTAGTTTTAATAGGACAAATATAGAATCTACAAAAGCAAGTATTTTCTTTTGTGCCTGTACAGCTAAAAAAGGAAAACTATTGGCCTCTACCACTCATCCAGTGCAACAAATACCAAACCCAATGTGAGAACAATGTTCTCAGCATTCACTTTTCCATCAATTCCTTAACTGGGAAAGAAAACAAAGACCCACAAAGAACAACTGCTCCCAGCAGGCACCACCATCTCTCCTCTAAATAAAGTCCACTGATTGCCAGTTCTCTGGCTGTCACTGCACAAAAACTCTCTCCTTCCAAAACCAGGACAAGACTAGCATATTGGAACGAACTTTTGCTTATGAATATGTGATAAGTGTTGACAGATGCTGACCTTCCAGTGCCAAACACCGTGATCATCTTATCCAGATTCTCAGTCACTGAGCGACTTCAGTTTTGAGAACTGAAAGTCACTTTGATTTAATAAAACCCTAGTTATGTCCCCTTCTAATGTAAGTGTGACTTTTGCTAAGCTGTTTTGTGATGTTGTAGAATGTTCATATGCAAGTGTGTTTATAAACCCAGCCTGAAGAACACCCAAAAACCCAGCAGCCACACACTGTGTGGACAACCCTACCTTCAACATCCCAACTCCCCATCATCCAGTTTCTTTAAAAAGCCTAAGTAATAAAGTTTGTACCCAATACTGTGAGAGTAATAGTAGCCTCTCCCAGGCGTTGCCCCTCTTCACTCTTGGCACTGATTTCACAGCGGTAGGTCCCGGAATCCCTTCTAGTCACGTTCCTAATTCGGATTCCTGTATTCAGCATCTCTGCTCGGCCTCGAAGATCACCTTTAGGGAGAACAGACAGAGAAGTTTCTGCTCTTTGCTTACAGAATCATAGAATCACAGGATGGTTTGGATTGGAAGAAACTTTGAAGATCATCTTGTTCTATCCCCACTGCCATGGGCAGGGACACCTTCCACTAGACCAGGTTGTTCCAAGCCCCATCCAGCCTAATCTGGAACACTTCCAGGGATGGGGCAGCCACAGCTTTTCTCGGCAATCTGTGCCAGTGCCTCACCATCCTCACAGGGAAGATTTCCGTTTCTGTATTTCCTCTGCATATCTAACCTAAATTTCCCCTCTTCCAGTCTGAAGCAAATATCTATGGCTCATTGGCTTATTCTGAAGTCATGTACAATTTATTGATATTTTACATCATATTGTATATGAAACTATTGCTCATTTGTTCAGTGTTAGTTACCTATCAGCAAAGAGCAATATGTAATCCCCTTCTCAAAACAGTATGAACCTTCCATTTAGTCCAAAAAAACCACCCTCAATTCAAAAAAGCTCCATCTGCCATACATAATCCACTTGGAAGATAGAATGCATTTTTCTGCAGGTGTTTCAAGAAAATATGTATAGCAGTAGTGAGGTGACTGAAAGACATCCCTTTCCACTAGAGACATGACAATCACTAACTTAATTACTTTAAAGAAAAAGTTGTGAGTGTGACCCCAGCAGAATATTTGACATTTTAACTTGGCAAGAAAAACTTGATGGATTTAGCAACAATACTGCCATCAGACTTCTAACAATGAAGAAGTTTTTTTAATTCTACAGCTTATTATGAAAATAACATGCACACACAGAAGCATGAGTTCTAGTGTTTCTATAAATTAAATACATGCAGGAAAAAACCAAGTTCATCAAGGTCAACACATCTGCAAGCTCTACAAATTAACAAAATCTCTGTGCTTTTATTTTACTTCTCAACCTTCATTTATTGTGTACAATGTAACAGAGACCCATATGTTCTCCAACACACAAAGCTTAAGTCCTTTTCAAAACATGCAAAGAGAAATTCTACTTCTGAAAAGAATACAAATCATTTATAATACACAGCTGAGTTTATATTTTATGTATATAAAAAATGCTGCATTAGTCGTATCTAAGCCTCCTGCTTTACAGGAGGGTTCAGAAACCTCTTTTTAGGATAGGAGTGGAGAGCCTGCAGTAGTTTAGGGGAGTTTACATCCACATGTAATTTCATTTTTGAAAAATCCCAAGTAATCTGCAGTACCATTTTTCTTAGTCTTTAATTTTATTATATTTAACTTAATTAAAAGGTAAATAATAATTGATGATTTTATAAAGAAATGCCTTTTTTTTTTCCCCTGAGAAGAATTCTCTTTCTCAAAATGACATCTCTTCTATATGAACAGTCAAGAGCCTTCTTGTTCAGTCTTATTCTTGGTGCTGTTCCCCAAGAAAGAGTCAATAGTAATGCTAGAGAATGACATGTTAAACCATCTGTTTGCAGTACTGTACCTGTAAATTCACTATTGTAGTAGACAAATGAGACTCCTTGAGACTGGATTTTCTTCCACTCTATTCTTAAACTCATCCCTTTCGAAAATTTGTGTTTGCAACTAAGAATAGCCTCTAGAGGGAAGGAAAAAAAAGAAGACAAAAGAGAAAATTAGAGATTTTAGTACTGTGTTGGTATACATTCAGGCTCCATGAAATTCATGTTCCTCCTTCAAAAGAATTTGTACAGTCAGCAATGGCCAGATCTACTTCTCAAAGTGATGCTTCTCCAGATTTACAAACACAGTGGGGAAAAATAAAACAGTAATTTTCTTATACTTCAGTGGCTTTTGGGTCAAACTTCAGATGCTGAAGATTCCCATGCTGGATAGGGTTTGTTACTTTTCCCATCTAACATGGGAATATCTACTTTGATTTTTTATTACTACCTTCATTTTAGTTTAAACATTTCTGAGCAGATCGCCCCTAAAAAAAGGGACTCTGACCATGTTATAAACATATTTTTTGAATTACCATTCTGAATTCAGTATCAATGGCTTTTCTGTTTAAATGTATAACTTAATGGAGATGAAAAATATTCTAGTAAGATGGTTAAAGAAACAAATGCAATATAGACCTTGCTACCTGTAAGCCACTAATTTTCCTATACAGGCCACAATATCCAGAGCAAAAGCCTTTATAGTTTTGACAAGGCCTGTCTAGCTTCCATAATGCAAACATGCACTGCTCAAACATAATCAGCCATCATTCTCCTTTCCAGTCTAAACAAATGAGGCTGGAAGGTAATTAAGAGCTACAGACAGATCTACTCTCTTGCCCTTCAGAGTCTGATTTCCTAGGTCTGCTCTGAAAAGAAACAAAAACCCAGACTGATAGCCTTGGTGAAACCTCACAGGGGAAAAAAAATATCCAGACTTGAAAGAAAAATTGAGGCAGGAGGGCATTCCTTGCCAGAAACATGTTACACGTGCACTGGCTGCTTTGAAAAACATACTGTGCACTCAGGAAGTCTGAGGTTCCTGACTTCAGGTTGAGTGTATGGGTGGAGGCTTCCTGAATCTTAAGATTTTGCTAGTTTCCTTCCCATTTTGTTTTTGTATCCTTCTAACAAAGAAAAACCATCATTCAAGCTTAGCTTGCTTTTGCTACTGGCCTTGTGACAGTTGGCTTGTCAAATGAGCTGGTCTCTATTAGCTGACACAGAGACAGCTCAGCTGAAGTGTTCTCAGCTGAACAAGTCACCTCTGTCTCAAATGAGCTGTCCCTTTCTTGCATGCCACACGTTTTTGTTTCAGAAAAAAACCCCAGCACTGATGCCCACCCACTAATCTTATTCAGAGAAAAGGAATGGATGGAAGAAAGGGAGTGTGCACAGAACAGAGACAACATAAAATAAAATTGTCCTTAGTTATAGCACCCCTCTCCTGCTTTTTCCCATAGTAATGGAGTCAGGGAGAGGTATTTTCCAGATTTGCATTAAGGTAGGTCCACAGGATACCGTGCATCAGGACTGGTACTGCTAGGCCTGCAAAAGCCCTCTGGAATCTTGGAGAGATCTGCACAATATTTAATTTGGATTTACATCTGGTCTGGAGGCTATTATTGGTGATAGAATTATAGAATATCTCAAGTTGGAAGGAATGCTAAGAATCAGTGAGCCCAACTCTCTGCTCCTTGCAGAACTACCTAAAACAAAACCATGACTAGGAGTGTCACCTAGATGCTCCTTGAGATCTGTCAGGCTTAGTACCATGACTACTCCCCTGGGAAGCCTGTCCCAGTGCCTGACCATCCTCCTCTACAGTAAGAGGAGTTAGAGGAGAAAAGGAAAATGCATTTCAGACCAGCTGCACTCAGTGGAATAACTGTCTATGGGCTCTACCATCCCTTAGTGCTGCTACACAGGGAGAACTTCGCTTGGCATCTGAGCTGTGCAAAACTGATTCCATTCAATGTACAAATAGCAAAAGAAAAAATGCAAGCCATATACCATACAAAAAGAGAACTTAATCAAACTTTAATATTAGCTGAAGCATTTCTCTCTGCTTTTGCCTGCCTTGAGCTCTAAATGCTTTCTGTCAATAGAAGAATACCTAACAGAAGTCCAGATGACAGTTTTAGAGACCTCTAAAATATTTGATTATTACCTCAAGAAGCTGAATAAGGTTTAAAGCTCAGAGAACAGTTTTTTGATCCCAAATTCCCAGCTCTCTCTACTCCAATCAAATTCAAAAAACAAACCCACATAACCGACAAACCTCACACTATAGTACTCCCCTTTCTCATCTACCCAGCAAACAGGTTTTCCTTTTTGCCTCTGTAAGCTCTCCACCTCATTATCAGAAATAATTTGCTATTTTATATATGACACGTATATATATACATATATAACTATGTAAATAGCCATTACAGCTAATGACAAGTAAAAATAGCCATTAAATTATTGTTATTTACAATTAACTAACTTATATCTGTTCTCTTTAGTCCCTCACTTTTCTGTCTTGTAGCATATTTAATGTTTCTCCTTTCCACCAGCTCCCATAATATTCTGTGGAAGGAAACCAGGCAGCTGACAAACAAGTCACAGAATCACAGAACAGGGGAGGCTGAAAAGGATCTCTGGAGAGCACCTAGGTCAACCCCACCTCGAGTAAGAGAAGATGGGGACAAGATCAAGATAATGCAGAATCAGTGGAGAGAGCAGGCACAAGATCCTTCAGGAAAGAGGAAGAAAACCTCAATAGCTGCCCATCCTCTGTATACATAGTTTGCATGTATTGTGTATATATTAAAAATTATCACAACAATGCCCATACTGTACCTTTAAACTCCTCTGCTTTTACATTTTTGTTATCTGTTTCAATGGAGATTCCAGACACACCAGGATCTGCAAGGGGACAGCAAAAAAAAAAAAGACAATTCAGCAATAAACATTTGTGATTTCACATGTGCTGTGGCAGCTTCAAGCAATATTTTTGAGACCTCCTCACACTGTGCAAGTTAGACATTGCCTACAAGAAAGAGTACAAACTAAGGGCTAGACCAGGGCTGGCCTTGAACAGTTCATCTTTTTTCTCCAGGTTCTGGCATCTGTAAAAAATAAGCAATATTTCTTTTTTTACAGTGGCATAATGACATTTGCATGTAACAAGTTCTATATAAACAGTAAACATTTTATACTATGGCAATGTCTGTTTATAACTGGGGAGGCATCTATTAATCAATAAGGGTATTTTCCATAACATTCTTATTACAAAGCATGCATATCTTCTGAAGAATACCACTTATAGATTCTACAGGGTAAAAATATGTAGTGTAATTGGCAATTATCTCAAATTCTTCTTGAAATGGGAAGGAAGATAATAAAGATTTATCTAGTTTTAACTCAAAGAAAGAAAAAGATCCCCATACACTCTTGGATATCTCATTGTTACCTTCCACTAAGGGGGAACTGCAGGAGGTTCTTCTAAAACAGATGGCTGAGGATGGAATTACATGAAACGAGGCAGGTATTATATCTGAGAACCATTTATTGGTAGTGAAAAGTGTTGCAGTTCTTTTGAGGGGGCTCCCCGGGGAGTCCCCGGAGGGCCCCCTAAGCTGTGAGTTCGCTGGCAGCAGCAGGCAGGCAAGGAGACTCCACATGGCTTTTGAGGGTGCTGATTAGATGACGGTTTCTTGGGGTCCCAGCCCCGGGAACAGCAAGGTTTCTGAGGAAAAAGAGGGGAAGGGGGAGGGAGGGAGAGCTTAGGGAGAAAAGGGGCCAAGAGCGAGTCTGGCCTCCCTCGCACAGCTTAAGAGGGAAATTCAAAGTGGGCGCAGAATCAGACTTGGGCCAATGGGATTACAGACACATGATGTTTCAGGGCAGGACCACAGACTTGGAATAAACCATACATTTTCAAGGGGTGAGACAGAGCATACCATTTAACTAAAATGTAACACCACAATTCCCCCTTTTTTCGTTAGAAAGATAGAGAGAAATATGACAACAATTTAAAAATGAAGCAGTAATTACACAGTTTCGCAGCATAAAAATAAATACAACTGCAGTGAGGACTGTGTTGTAAACAGTGCATTTGACTTGATGTTTGCTTTTGGTGGTAGGCAGCAAAGATAAAATGGGCATTTAATTGTAATAAATGGGTTATGTGGGTCCGTATTGCCGATTTTTAAATGATTTTAAAGCATAGGCGAGTGAGAACCATTTATTGGTAGTGAAAAGCATGTTGCCCTACTAAGGAAGAATAGAAAAGACACAAAATGAACATGGAGAAGGAAAAAGAATGGGCAGAGAAAGAGAGGGGGGCGACTGAGAGAAAAAATGGGCGTTACCACCAGAACCTCAGAGTGGGCCATCGACGTCCAGCTGGCAGGTGGTGTGGGCATGCGCCCCGCCGTGGGGAGCCTTTGCCACTCCCAGAGCAAAGACACGGCTCCTGCATGAACGGGCAGCCAGACACGAGGTGAGAGGGCTCGGGCAGGAGGTGCAGAACCCTGGGCAGGGTCATGGACACCGTGGGGACAGGCTAGATCAGCGACGCAGAGTTGGAAGTGGGTGGCTCAGGCAGGGACAAGGCAGGCAGGGAGTTGAAGCAGGTAGAGCATTGGGCAGGAACGCAGGCAGGCAGGACAGGCGACAGCTTGAGCATGGGAGGGAGATGAAGTGGGAGGGCTGGACACAGGAAGTGGTCAGCAAGTGCCCAGCCAGGGAGGGGGACAGCAAGAGAGCAAGGGCAAACAAGGGCCAGTGAAGGCAAAAATGGGGGCAAAATAACCAGCTAGTCAGGGCAAAATGACAAAAAAGCTCCAAAGCTTTTCACATAGTTACTTTTATAACCCCTGGCTCCTCCCAAGGTCTGCAGTGCTGAGAGGAGATCATTGGCCCAGTCCAACATTCTATTGCAGCCATTTGTCCTTTCACCATCTGACTGGAGAACCTCTCCGGAGGTCAGTGTCCTTAGTGGTTTCCTACTGACTGCCTATTGTATGTGAGATGTGAGATGGCTGCCAGGCAAAGTCTCCTGGGAGATGGGGCTTTCCATCTTCTCCTAGCTGCCTCCTGCACTTGTACAGCCCCTCCCCCCACACCTCTGGTAATTTCAAATAATATTAAGACAGAGCTCAAAATTAAATTGGTTCCTCACACTCATGTATTGGGAACACTGAAATTCCAGAAAGAACAAGTGAAATAACCACTAGAACCACATCAACCCCCACCCAGCTACCAGGAGTTGGGCACAGGTATTACAGTTAATCCATGTCAGGCTAGCAAATGCTTAACAACTGAACACATTTCTTTACACAGGTGTACTTTTTTTTTTTTTTCCCCCAAAGCATCTCAAGTTCTCTTGGTTTAGTACCAGTTTTGAAGACAGCACAGACGCTTCTAATGCACTCTATTTCCTCCATCTGCATCAGCCAACTGAAAAATTGCTATAGCAGAAATGGACAAGAACTGAGAACCTGTTTCCATGATTATTTAAAAACTTGACTTGGTTAAAAACAATTTTCTTTTGACTGACAGAAACTAGGAAAATAGCAAGATTAGATGTTCTTAAGCACACAGACCTCCTTTGTCCATCCCTAAATTATTAATTTCCCTTCCCCCTGCTTAATGGGGGAAGAGTTGCACACACCCTAACAGATGAATATCTGGTCTTGACCTGAAGACACAAACAAATTAACAATCTCTTGATTCTTATGGCTTTCTTTTAACAGTTGATTACTTTTGTTGAAGTTAGTGCCTCACTTCTGCCTTGAGTGAGTCCATTTGGGCTTTCAGTGCTCAAAGTTTTGTTTGTTTGAAGATATCATCATAGAATCTCAGAATGGTTTGTGCTGCAAGGGATCTTTAAAGGTCATCTAGTTCCCTACAAATGAGCAGGAACGTCTTCAACATGAGTAGGTTGCTCAGAGCCCTATAGAGCCTGACCTCGAATGTTTCCAGGGATGTGGCATCCACTCTGTCTTTGGGTAATGTGTGTCAGTGTTTCACCACTCTCACTGTAAAACCTTTCTTCCTTATAGCTAGTCTGAATCAACCCTCTTTTGGTTTAAGCCATTACCCCTTGTTCTAACCCACTACAGGCCCTACTAAAAAGTCTGTCCACATCTTTTTTATAAGTCCCCTGTAAGCACTGAAAGGCTACAATAAGGTGTTCCCAGAGCCTTCTCTTTCACAGGGTGAACAACCCAAATTTTCCCAGACTGTTTTCACAGGAGGCATGCCATATCCCCATGATCATTTTAGTGGCCCTCTGGACTTGCTCCAACAGGTCCATGTGCTTTCTATGCTGGGAACCCAGAGCTGGATGCAGCTTCAGGTGGGGTCTCACCAGAGTCAGGCAGAGGGACAGAGTCCCCTCTCTTCCCTACTGCCCCAGGGCTTTGGATGCAGCCCAGCACACAGGGGGTTCCTGGGCTCCCAGTGCACACAGCGGGGGCATGTACAGCCTCTCACCCACCAGCACCCCCAAGTCCTTCTTGTAGGGCTGCTCTGTTCATCCCCCAGCCTAGACTGATACCAGGGGTTGGCCTCACCAAGGTGGAGCACCTTGAATTCAGTCATATTCCCATGGGCCATTTCTTGAGCTAGTCCAGGTCCTTCTGGATGACAATCAAATCTTCAAGTGCACAGCAACAGCACCACTCATCTTGGTGTCATCAGCAAATCTGCAGAGGGTGCACTCAATCCCTTTGTCTGTGTCAATAATGAAGACATTAAACAGCACTGATCCTATACAACATAGGACCCTATCACAGTTTTCTTCTCAATTAAAGATCATTCCTTATGGTTTAAGTCCAACACCACAGAGGGTTGTTCATTCTGTTCCTATGGCCTTTTCCCTCAATTTTCTAGAGTTTTTTTCAGCATCCTTTAAAAATACAAATTACAGTTCTACAGGTATCTGTAACCACTGCTTCTGAGTCACGGAGCAACACTCAGAAATGATATCTGAGGCCCTGGCACTGTAACAAGAGTTCAGTTATTCATTCACTGTAAATTGTGGTGCATTGACTTTGCGTGGCTGCCGGACACCCACATGGCTGCTCGCTCACTCCTCCTCCTCAACATGACCAGGGAGAAAATAAGATTAAAACCTCATGGATCAAGAGAAAGACGGGAGTCAGGGAGTTTAGTTAGCAGTTACCATCACAGGCAAAACAGACTAAATTTAGGAAAAAATAATTAAATTTACTGCCAGTTTAAAACAGAGTAAATGCAGTAGTTGTGGGAATGTGCTCTTCTCTGCTGCTCCTTCCTCTGCATGCTCTCCCCTACTCCAGCATGGGTTGCTTTCTATAGGTCACAGTTACCGCCAAGAGCCTGCTCCAACATGGATTCTCTGTGGTTCTTTCTTGCTATCTCACATCCCCTTCCAAATACATGTCCAACAATTCTTGTGTCTTAAAGAACACAGCCTCACCTGACAGTGTAAAGTGAATTTTCATGTGTGCACATTATCAAAAGACGCAAATTGTGTATAGCTATCCTGTCTGTAATATGTTTCAATTTTATCCACTTTATGTTACCCCAAAAGTTATAACCAGTTGTTTATAATATGAAATATTATAACCTTATAGTATTATAATATTAAGACATGAAGAATTCTAGCAATGACATTTATGTGCTCTGAGAATACTGAAATAGCAAAAAAATATTTGCACTACAAATAGAACTTAGAAATTTTTTCCATCCCTCCAAGAAAGAAAAGTTTCCTACTGAACTTTAAAGAAAGAAATTTTTAAAATCCTCTGTATAGGCCCCCTCACACCCTGTTGAAACCAGAGGAGGAAACCATTTCTCCAGTGTCTCCCAAAGCAATCATTTCTCCTGCAAGTCTATACACAGCCCAGCTCCTTTATTTTTTTTGTTCAGGCTCGGTCTAGAATAGCCTGGAATTAGTATGTAATTTTCTTTTTAACCTATTAGGTCCTATTTAGATTTATGGGAAAAAAATTAACACGTGACTTCTACCCAAACCATATTTCTAGAACAATACCCCTCTTGCCCCCTCTTCCTCCATAT